GAACTGCCCACTTGAAAACGTTTGACAGTGCTCTAGCATCGTATAAATGCCGCCACTGCTGAGAGTGGTTTCGACTGTATTGTACTGCGAAGGAAAAAATCTTACATAACTGCGTTCAAGGAATTGGTTGGCAGATTCGGAAAGCAGAAACAAGATCAGCCCCAAAAACGAATCCTCTGGTATATGTTTCATTGAATGTGGCCACTTCGACCTTGGTTCTTTTTTGGTTCAACCTTTTATTATTGTAAAATTTTGAGTTTTCTCAAAACTGCACTCCTCTTGGCCCGCATATGTATGCTCAGGAACGGCTATGAACTGTTGACATCCATGAATCGGTACCGGGGAAAACTTGCATCAACGAGATAGTCGAAACGAGAGCTGCTTCAAGCAATGGCTTCTGATGATTTCAAAAGTAGAAGGAAGCGATCTTGGGCTAGGTCAGCAGCCGCGTTGGTAAAAATATGATTCGGTTATAAGACTCTCGTACTCGTTTATCCGTTTAGGCGAGCGCCCTTTTCGCCCCCCCCCCCCCGCGAAATCGTATAAATTCCAAGCGAGTCGCAAAGTCCGAAACTTGGCTCGACGGCGGTGATGCTCAAAAGTGTTGTTGCATCTGCGTCACTTGACACACAATCGTTTCTGCGAACTCTGCTCAAGTATTCCGGTGCCCATTGCAAAATTACCAGACCAAATCTCTTTCCCACCCTCCCTAGGAACTTTTTCAACCTCCTACATCCTCACAAACCCCAAATCCAAAAATCCTCAGAAACCCCAAATCCAAAAACCACATCCAAAAATATTCACCCCAAAATCACAAATGAGAACGCGAATCTCGTTGAAACTTTCTTAGGCGGACGATTAATCCTGGTTGTAGGCGATTGTTCATGATTGTCATCATACATATGTAAGAGCTAATTAAGCACTCATGTTGAATTTAGCGACCACTCTGTAAATCACGAATTTTATTTGAAAAAAGCCATTACATTTCAAATGATTGAGAAAGAAGTTGTAGAGAAGAAATCAATGCTATAGAGATAGCATCATTTTTCAAACCCTCAGCACCAAAATGCAGCAGACAGTTTAACTCCAACCTCTAACTTTTTTCAAGCTTTTCAAGCTCAAGCTCTATTTCGTCATAATTGTTGAAGAGGTAGTGTTCACGCTACAGTAGCTGAATATTTCTTAGACAACAACTGCTTGTTTGTTTGCCCGTGGACGCTTCAGCGTCGTCAAAGAATCGTGTGGCACATATGTAGAAGAAATACAAATAGTGACCGCAAAAAGGGAGCTTCTGAACATTCAAATCTTTAGGCCATATCAGTCTAATGACTAATGGTTGACCTCGGTCAAGAATTATATAGTCTTCATTGTTTCCTCAAAACGAAGAGGTCTTGGATCAAATTCCCGCGGCTCAGCTCAAAGTGACTTCGGTCCAGTGGAGCCGGGTGAGGTGAATCGTCGCGAAACGTCGCCAGCAATTCGAATCCTAAAATGCAGTGTTCGAGCGATAAGACGTGGTTTCGATGTCAGTCTATAAAGCTGAATAGATGGGTATTGAAAATATTCTATTGTTACCTGCCATGATCATTGCCAATCTTACAGGTCCATAGATTCGATGCAAATTGAATACGACAGTGTCTCGTCCCCTGGGCAGACCAAGAAAGAATATACCTGAAAATAAGGCACCCTTCTACCAGTGTTAACCATGTGTCAACGGAATTTTGGCCTAGTCATCTTTATGCGAATAGATAAATGGAAACAAGGAATAGCGAAAGATGTGACGCACCTTTGGCAAAATGCTACTGCCCAGATTGTATCACTTCGATCGAAGGGACGGAAGTTGCTCAAGGGGATGGCCTATGTAGCGAAAGCGGACGTTACTTTCAAAGGCGGGCCTCCGGGCAGGTGCATAAAAGGGTCCGCCATGCCAGTCAGGCGGCGTCGGCAGGGTGAAAATCGTGTCAAGGAAATGGAAGCTTCTCTACAACCCCTCACCCTTTACAGAGGCTACAATACGACCATCCTTTTACCCTCCGCACATCCGATTTTGCAGCAAAAAATGTTAGCCTCAGATAGAGAAAGCGCTGCTGAGACGCGAATCCAGAAACCATTTCAGATCCCAAATCAAACTCTGCACCGACTGGCTTATCCATCTATCTTTCAGGACTACTTATGGTTAGTCTATGCCTCATTTTCAAGGAAGTAGAAAAGTGAAAGAGGTAGTGATTACAGGAGCTGAGCAGTCTCGTCCTCCTGTATGGCGGCACCAACCATCTGCGGTCGCGTCGCGCGTGCCTTCCGATTGAAACGCCCTAGTTGGAAAAACCCCTAAGTCTGCCACCGTTTTGACGAACTAGAACTTTCCACACTTACAACCCCTTCAGAAAAGGAAAGCCAATTCTGAACTCATAAGACCTCTAGCTTCTGAATTGTTATGCCATTGCTTCAAATCACGTTCTCTACTTGAGCTGAAGACGTGGAAGGTCTGTAGAGGACACAAGTAATCTTTCCTTGAAAGACAATAACTTCCTTCAATTATAATCATTCGAAAATCTATGGAAATGATGTAAAGAAGATTTGCGCTTTCCGCGTGGTGCTGCATACTTCTGGAAGCTCTCTGGTTCACGAGAAACTGCGTCGAGTATCTATCGACGACGGCTTCCGAGCCAAATGAAAACTATAAAACCCTTCGCCGATGTAAGGAACCTTTTTCGAATCTCTCAAATTGCTTCTAGGTCATCTTGATGAATCAAATGGGAAACGATACACTTGGTTCGGATCCACTCCGTTCTCATATGCACCGTGCAGTTACCCCCTATGGAGTCAGTTGGAAGGTGCTATGTCTTCACGACAGCTTGCTTCTGCAAATTCAAAGGTGTTTCCAGTCTTAATCAATCAGAATACTCTCATGGCCGTAGTATAGTCTGATCATTCCTTCATTTACGTCGCTTCCTTCCAAGCCCCATTTCTATGAGTGATGCATTTG